TATTTTTAGGGATGATGTGTTAATGATTTAAAAGTATTCAAAGAAAACAGTGGGACTCCTGATTTATCCTAAGAGTTAAAGCTGGCCTACCTCTAATTTTGCTTCAAAATGGAATGAGAAACAACAAAATGGTTTAGGTGGACTATCAGAAGTTACTCAGAAATTTTTAAATTATTAGCACTTTTTAAAGCAAGTAATAAAGGGTTATTCTCCTTTTCACAGAGAAATTGAATGTCTGTTCTTAATGGCAGTATTTTATATATAGTGAATGAAACAGTTCCTGCTAGGATAGCTGTAAAAAACTGGTAAAATTTGACCTTTGTTTTTGGGTAAATGTTACGTATTTGAATAAAAGGTTGCATTTATAGGCAGCCACAGATTTTTTTTTTATTATTTTAATGAAATCTTTAGAAGAGCTCAAGGGATAATCCAGGGAAATTTTTCAAATAGGCAACACTAATTTTGAACAAATTTTAAACACTCAGACAAGGTTTTTCCTCTAACGTAGGATCCATCACCTTCCTAACTCGGTGTAAATTCAATCTGTTCTATTTGTATGACATAAACAACAAGTCATTTCACAGGAATGAGGCAAACCATATGTGAAGGTGTTTTAGAAAGCACAACAGGGAATACACCAAGCAAAGAAGCATCTGCATTTATTTCAGTGTCAAATCACATGTGTATTATAAAGGGAAAGTTTATTGTCTTTATATAGAAAACAATTTTACTATATTGTGCGCCTTACATTTAACGCTTCCTGCCCCTCAGTGTCCTCCTCAATTTGGGGAAAAAGAAAAAATCAGGAGGTAAACATCATAGAGTCTACAGGTGTAGAGGCAGGGTTGTAAAGAGGTCTTCAGCCTTGTCCACCCTACCCAAGCTGCCATATGCTGACAAGAGCCTATTTCATCTTCACCCTCTGCTTGATACCTCTGCAACTGAGCTGCTATAGGCAACACACAGCAATGCTCCATGGGGCACTGGGTATTCCCTCAAAAAAGGCAGTGCCCTATCATAAACTAGTTTTATAGAAGCTGGCCAGAGTCAGCTTAACACATTTGGAGTTCAGGAGAAAATATTTCAAAGCAGCATTTAGCCTAGGTATGAGCTACAGGCACGTTGTTAAAAAGCTAATTGCACAGAGACAAAGGAAGATCGTGACTTTTATAATAGTGTGAAATATTAACCCTTAAGAGCTGTGTTTGATGATAAGTATTTGATTACTGAACCTGCTAGTTCATTATTTATATATAAACTCAAGCCTGAAGATTCCTGAAGTCACAGAAAGTGTTTATATCTTTATGTTTTTTGTATTAAGATAGACAAAGGTTTTTGAAATCTGGGATTTTTTTTCCCCTCTCCTCTAAAACTATGCATAAAAAGCACTGTTAAAGTGCTGAAGTGTTGAAATTATTTCTCAGATCTGTATTTTTATGCATCTTCAGGAAATCTGGCTTTGTAATGACAAATAGTCTTGAAGAACATTTTTTCCTCAAATTTTGCTTGTTTCAGGGAACAGAAGAACAGAACTAGAGAGCTTCTGACAGTAGGCTTTGAGCTGCAAGGGTCAAAATTCCTTCAAATATTCCTCCTTCTCTCTCAAGGTTACAGATCTCACCTGCCTTATTTAGACAATAGCCACTAAAAACATTCATATTCTGCTGCAGATTACACAACCTGTTAGTTCTAGGAACACAAAAATCAGAGAAGAGAGGTTCAGTGATGCTGGATTGCAAGGCAAGGTCCTGAGGTCAGCTCTCCAGGAAGGTCTGCAAGGCACTCGGTGAGCATTTAGCATCTCCCAGGCTGTGACTGCCCCTGACACCTAAACAGCATGGATCTCCCTGAGTCTTTTGGACTCAACCCCCTCATCTCCAGCTCACCAGATCTAAGTAAAAGCCTGATGCTTTTAACAAGGCTGTATGGGGGCACAGTGGGAAAGTCACTTGTGTAGGCTGCAATACCCAACCTGAAGGCTGTGGGCTTCTGCAGCCAAAAAGCTCTTTTTATTACATATGTGTATAATGCCCACTGTAAGGAGGTTTGACTATGGCCTATGGATGTGAGACACTCTGTCAAATTAATATGAATGAAAAAGGACAAGCATGCTATAGCAACAGAAACAAAAAAAGCACCACAATTATCAGAAAAATATTTGTGATCACAAAAGAATATCTTGCTCTTGCCAATCTCCCCTTTGGCAAGCCCTACAAGAAAAGAGAATATGAGAGAAAGGAAAGAGAGAAAAAAATTACAGGGAGAGGCAGGGAGAGAATGGGGGGAAAGAGAGAGACTGAGATAGAGTGGATACTTTTAACTTGTCACAGTACAACACTAGCTTTTAATTAATACAGAGTATGTACAACTTTAAAGACTGTTGGTTGTGCAGTATTTTATGATAAATACATTTTATGGGATTTTGTTTTTAAAGAGGATTTTGTAAAATAACCTAGCCCAATAAATGATTTACCAGCTGCAATAAAAGATCAAGGAAATTGCTCAGATTGCATCTTGGAGCATCTAAAACTCTGAAGTTTATGGAGATCTAAGCTGCCCCCAGATCTACAGTGCTATTAAAAATTTTTGTAGTAGCTAATTATCTTCCATTGCATTTTTTAAAAGGTAGCAATCATAGAAGAAAGGAAGGTCTGGAAACAGACAAAGAGGAGTTGATGCCCTTTGATGGAGAAAGTAGGAGAGAAGGAAAGGAGGAGACAGACAGCAGTGAGTAACAATTGAAACATCATGCTGGTATGGTAACAAATGGAACTAACAACTCATAAGGTATCAGATTCTCCTTAAATCACTCAGGGAAACTGAATTAACTCTAAGTTTGAAAAATATATTTTAGGGACACATACTATATGTAATATCTATATTATTTGACCAAGAGGGGAGTATTTTTTTTGCTATTTTTTTTCTTGCTGATAAAGATGATGACCACAAGTGAAGCAGAAAGTGAAGAAATTCCCTCTAAGTTCTGCTTTGTTCCAAACTTATGGGACTTTAACATAATACATAAGTAAATAAAGCAAGAACCTGTCCTTATTTCAAACAGGATGATGGATACAGTAAATAGAATGGCACAGTGAAATAACAAAATACTAGCCTAAGGTAGGAGAGGCAGCCCAGTCACCCTGATGCATTGCTGGTAGCCTTTGTTTTGTAACAGGAATATACGGTTTGTGCCCTGTAACTTACTGTGCTCAGACATACCTATGCCTCCCCCAGGGAATCCGAGCAAAGTCAGTGTCCCTGCAGGCATGGGAGTCCAAGGAGAGATGGGCTTCCTAACAAAGGACAAAGAAAAGAAATAGAAAAGAAAATGGAAGAAAGGACAGCCATTTTTTCTTAGTCCCCACATCAGACGGTGAGGTGCACACCAACTTAGACAAATACCTGTTCCCTCTGCTCCTCTGGATACCTTGTGCAGTCACAAAGGACACAGACTTCAAAGCCTGGGGCCAGGCTGCTGCAGGGACAGCTACTAGAAACCAACACATGCTCCAGGAACGCTCCAGTGCTGAGGAAGTAGAGACTTGGGGCCCTTTCCCTACACTTTCAAGCTGAACAACTTTGAAAAGAATAAAGTATCAATGCTGCTAATTTCAAATGTACACAGAATCATGGTATGGTTGGGGTTAGGAGGGATTTTAAAAGCCATCTACATCCAAACCCTCAGTCATGAGCAAGGACACCTTCCACCAGATCAGTTTGTCCACGGCCCCATCCAACCTGGCCTTGAATACTTCCAGGAATAGGGCATACACAATTAAATGTTACAATTAAACGTTAGAAAGAGAGAAAGTGAAGTTCCCTGGTACTGAAGGCGAGCACCTTGAGATAGATAATTGATGATAATTTGGTTAATTTAATTTGAAAATTAAGGTCGGTAAAATGAAGCACTGGGAGCTGGCAAGGATATTTGGATGAGCACTGCTACCCTAAAATCTATTCTTCTATTATGACAAGGATGGGGTAGTCCTCAGTTGTCAAAAATAACCATAGTCAATTCAGCAGAATTATGACAACCTAATTGTATGAGTGTATGTTATTTTTCCAGATGATTGCTGTCACCTCCAATACTCAGGGCTAACCACCTCTAGGGTTGAGTTCAGATTTCTATAGTGAAAATGCGCTTTGTGTCTGCACTTTGTGTCTGCACTTTCTGCCAACTTTTAAGGCACCAAATGAGTGTGGCAAATGAGAGCAGGGAACAACAGGACAAGTGATATTGAAGGCTGCTTGGCTTGCCCATGAGATAAACCTGCCTCATGTTTTAATAGGGAAGTAATTTAAAACTAAATTTTCACAGACGTCCACTCTATTGTGATGTTAGTTTACTGGCTGCTGTATTTGAAATCCTAGGGGCTGATTTGCAGAAGACCATAGGTGCCAGAGATGTTTTGAGGGCTGGATTTTGAATATTCAAAGCACAATATGGAGCTATGTGAAAGTCTATCAGATCATTTCATTTAGTGAAATGATCTTCATTGTTTTCTACTAATTACAAATAACTGTCTAGTTTTTGCAATTATCTAGAACATGAAATTCCAGGAAATATAAGTAACTGAAAAAAACTTTGTTTTGATGAAGTTTTTTTAGTTTCACTTTATCTTTTCGTTTTAAGACACTTCCCATATGTGTATTTTATAAAAGAGAAAACTAATAGTCAAAGTAACATCCAAGAAAGATTGCATATTACTCTTAAAATGTTTAAAAGATTATACTAGAAATCCTTTTGTATTTATTCCCCTCACACAGCTTCTCAAAGCAATGCAGCAATGTCAAAATTGCATTCTCAGACAAAAAATGTGCTTCCAATTTTTTTGGGGAAAAAAAAAATCATAAGTAATACTAAGGAGTCAAAAAAATCCTTATGTTTTGGGGTTTTTTGCAGTCTAATAACATTAATTTAAATGCAGGTACCTCTCGAATACAGGAATAGCAAGACATACTTTTTGGTTGTAAAACTATTTGTTGCTGAGATCACTTACCACACCGAAAAAGTATACTTCTCTAACTCTTCCAAGTACAAATTGCTCCCTACAGATGTTTTTTCTTCTTCTTGGCTTCCATTGTTCTCAGGACCTGATCTTTCTTCATGATGTTGGTCAGGTGGGTTATTGCAGTTGATCTTTAAATGAAAAGAAAAAACAAGTTAGAATAGTAAGGCAATTAGCACAGCCGTTCCTCCCAGGACAGGCCTTCCAGCCCTGTCACCAGCTTTGTTGCCGTCCTCAGGACACCTTCAAGGACCTTCACAACCTTCTTAACTGGTAGGACCCAGAGCTGCACACAGAGTATTGTTCCCTGAATGGATTTATGTTCCTATAAGGCTGTGGTTTGACAAACCTTCTCAAGGAGGTGTAAGCTCATGCTGACACCAGCAGTCATCCAGTCTCCCTCTACCTGCTTGCTTTTTCCTGTGTTGCATACCACACACTGTCAGCACAAAAATTTAGATAGCTCCATAGTAAGCCACACAGAGGGAACTAGTCTGGGAATGGAATTAATGCTGTTTGGCTTAATTCTTTTTCTTTTATTTAACTGAGTTAGCTCTCAACTGGACCCATTCTGATCCAGGCCACCCTGGACAAAGCAGGAGAGGGACAGTACTATACCTTTCAGTGCTCATACCAGTTTATTCTCATTTAAACTACTTGTTGAGCTACAAAGGAGAGAATCCTGATCTCTGCTCATCTCTGGAACAACATTTTTGCATGCACAAGGTCTGATTCAACACTGGCATTGCTTCTCTGAAGTGACCATCACACTCTTAGTGTTATCACACCTGGACAGAGAGACAAACATCATTTCCACCAAGAGACATAAGGAGGTCCTAACTTATCAGGCAGACATCTGCAGGAGATTTCAATGATACTATCTACTAATACCTTCCCAGGCACAATACCAAGTTCTGTAAAGGGTTTGCTAATATTTAGTGAACAAGCCCAGAGAAAACAAAGGGGTGGAAATTAAAATATGTTATGTTCAAACTAGTAACAGAACTCCCTCTAAAAGTATACTATTTAGAGGTAACCTCAAAGACAAATTTTGATTCTACATCCCTTGATGCCAACTTTACAGAGCAAGTGGTTGAAATTTTCTAGCCAATACTAGAAGATAACCTAGATGATTTAAGTTCCTATTTGACTTCCATATTTATGAAGTTTACTCTGTAGATCCCAAAAAAACTCAGAGTTCCCAGAGAGGAAAGCACTGACATAAGATGTAGTCACATCACTTTACACTTTGCTAATCATGAAAAAAACAAAGATTTTTTTTTCTTTTTAAACTCTGTAAACCATTTTGCTCTCAAAGGTAAATTTGTATTCTGAAGCTTGGATTACATTGACCTCATCCACATTTTGAATTTCACAGACATAAGAGACAGAACTTCATATTCATACCTGCAAAATGCATATACCTACATACTCTTATCAGTAAATATGATATAATCAACTTATTCTCAGTGGTCATTGGAAAAGCTGCCACAGGCAATGGAATATACTGTCAGAAAGAGGTTCTATGTAAACATGAATAGTTAAGGCAGAGTAGAAACCTGTTTTCAAATACTAAGACCAGGCAGACACAGATTTTACCCAGACACAAAACTGCCCAACTTAATTTCCTAGAAGTCAAGGTTTCAGAACAGGTAGTGTGTGCAGGCTACCTTGCTTGCTGACATTGCCTCCATGAAACTATCCCTGTGCAAAGTAGATATAAAGACATTATTTAAGACATAAATCCCAAAGGCATTAAAGAGTATTAAGAGCTAATTTCTCTGACTGTGTTTGATCTTGACTAACATACAAAGCCAGAAATTCAGTCATCTGCATGAGGATGGGATTATAATCAGAGTATATATTTTATTTCTCTCAGAAGTCACTGACTGTGAGCATCCTCTCCTTTATTGCTACCGTTCAATGTCTTGAATCCATTCAATAATGTGTACATTCGTTACAACAAAAACTAAGTGCTAATGCCCATGAGAGACTATTTGCAACTTCTTAGCATAGATGAATTTGGGGGCAAAAAGTCGAGGTCAGACTTAAAGATCTTTTTGTTTGTTTTGGTTATTAAAAAAAAATAAATTTTAAAAATATGTTTACAAGGAGAAAAGGGACTGCTAAGGAGAATAAATCACTACAGAAATTTCTGTCTTCTTCCTTAAGTCTGCTCTTTACATTAGTTTGTCATTGTTTCCTAAATATGCCTGTTACATAAAAATATTTTACAAGATGGTATCCAGAGATACAAGTAGGTCCAAATGATATAAATCAGGCCAAATGCCTAGATCTTGAACATGCTAAAACAAGGCTCTCTCTGAACATTAGGGTTCATTCATGCCATTAAAAAGGAGAGGCTCTTACAACCTTTGAAAGGATATTTCACATACTCACATTTCTTTTGTGCAGAAGCATTCTCGTAAGAGGCTCAGTTCAGAAATCTATACAAACATGTCAATAACTGTAAGCTAGTCAGTCATTTCACTGAGTCCAGAGGGACTAGACAGTGCTGAATTCCCCATGGGTTTACACACCTCACTGAAACCAGGTCACTTTAATGTGGCTTCGAGAGCCACCCACAACTGAAGTTCCTTTGAGAACGTGGCACTTTGTTCAAAGGTATCATGTTTTTTATGCAATTGTAGGAAATGAATTTCACTCTGCCACTCCCATGGGTTGGGTTACTTTGCCGACTACATTGATTCCAAAAGTCCTCAAATCATCCTTCCTATAGATATAAGGCCACACACACACGTGCATGCACACATCAGTCTGCAGTTATGTTTATATATAACTCTGTTTTCTCCAAGTTATTCTTAACTTCCTGAAAAAATAAATCACTTAATAACTTATCCATTTAAAATGGAGGGAACTTCCAGTTGGCCAATCTATTTTTACTCAGAGAAGTAGATCATCACATTATGAAAGTTGCAATAATAATTCCCGGCCATTGAGTGTTTGTGCCACAGCACATGTACAGGTATAAACACATAGTACACAAGTTTGTGAGTACTCTGAGTACTGTGATGATTTTCTTCCATGTACAGTTAAAAGCATTAAAAATGTTTCAGAGTATATCTAGAGCAGGGTAAGACAAATTACCAGAATGATTAATTTGAATATTCAGGTTTTTAGTTATAGTTCTCTGAAACCATGCTGATTTAAGGACGGAAGTGGAGCAACACTTACGGAGAAAAATTGCAACCTTCATTGGAAAATACCTAATTTAATAATATAATGAGGGTAGAAGCAATTCTCAGGAATACAGAGTTTTCTTTGTGTCTTAGTCATCAGGATTTACAGTAAATCTGAAAGTTTCAGTAGCATTTCACCCAGGAAGTGTTGTCATGATGCAGATATGATTTTATGGAAACTTGTACTGATGACACAATATTTGTTCACAAATTAATTATGTCCTTGACCAAGATACTACAAATATTATACTAAAAGTATCTAATGGTAGGGATCTTCTGCACAAGTACATGAGAGCTTGAAGGTTATAGATGCGTCTCTTGTTTAAACATTACTGAAATAATACCATCCTGCAGCACAGACGTGATTAAGCTGCTGGTATTTGATTACCATTAGGATGTTCTTTCCCTACTACTCCTTTGAAGTTTCTTTGCTGGAGAGATTAGCTCCCTATAGATACATGTAGGAGACAGCAATACACTTGGCCATGTGAAGTCTTTTTGTGGCCATAAAAAAATTCACAGGGGTAGATTAAAGAAACACAACAACAACAACAATGATGTCCATATCAAGACCTGTACCTTGTGATGTCCTCCTTGGACTTCCTTTGGCCAAAACAAGTCACAGTGCTCATCTGCACTGCCATGGAAATCTTGGTAATCCTCTGCAAGAAAAGGAAAAAAACAAACCACAAAACATAAATTATTTTTTGTATTGGTGCATAAGATAAAGCTCTGGAGAGGAAGGAGCTGGGTTTTGGTCCTCCTCCCAACAAGGTTCTGCCTGACTTCATGCAGATCATTTTTCTTTCTCCATCCTAGTTACAAATAGGTGGTTATTTCTCTACTACCTTCCAGAAATGTTAGTATGATAAATGCAGAGAAGACTTCGGATACTGTGTTCCTGGAAATAAAAATTGTACAGATACAAAACAGGGGAAAAAGTAGAAATAAAGAAATAATAGACACAAGAAGAATGACATGGAAGGGTATTTTAAACACCCCAGGAAGTGTTCTTCAGAAGAGAGAAAGAAGTTAATTTTCTTGTATGGGTGTGGTTGTGGATCAAGAACAAGACAGAGGCATAAAAAGCATTCAAATAAACATTGCTTAGAAAACACAAGTCGTGTATTCATTAAGATCCTGAAAAGCAGTGACCTGTGGAATGAACAAAAATGTAATTCCACATTTCAGGAAGTAGTGGTGTGGCAGAAATAAAGGTCTGTATTAGACACTTTTTAATGTATTGCATATGGAGGCTAATCCAAAAATATACTTAGTTATTATTTCCTTTTTTTTTTAAGTTATTTCCAATCCCACTCAGTAAAAGACAATCAAGCGTATCTAAAATCACAGTACAGGCAGGATCATCTCTTAGGTGTTAAAATTGTTGATATAGGCATATACAATATACACATATACAATGTCACAGTTGGATACCGTTTTTAGTTTCTACATATATGTATACATACGTGTAGGTGTATGTTGTATATATCGAACATTCATAGTAAAGGAGGCATTTGCAAGTATTTGCACCATCTGGGGTGAAAGAGGAGGTCTACTGAAATCAGTGAAACAGCATAAAATACAGCTGCTGGAAACGTCACAATGCACACATGCCGTATAATCAGTTCAAATTGTCTCTGCATATTCCATATATGTGATACATGTATGAACCCATAAACACATATTAAAATATACCTTTGTAAAGATGGTTACTGTGGTTTTCTTTGTTCAATTTTTTTTTCCTTTGGCACACAGAACTGCGCTTCCAAACAGCCCTGATGAAATAATGAATACTTTAACAATGTTTTTGGAGTCAAATGAATAAAGCAGTAATTATCTTGGCAAAAAAAATGGGACACTAAAAAGAATAAAGAAAACAATAATATTCTACATTTAAGAAATGGGTGGGAGAAGAAACTCAAGTCTGTTATTTAATCATGACATGCTCTTTTTATATTTTATTTGTAAGGCTCTCAATGCTCTTTTCTTTCTATACCAGTGAGCTCATTATTTTAATTCCTCGTAGATTTTTCTGAACAATTTTTGCTAAGTAAAAACACAATGTAATTCTTCAATGCCTGTAACAGTAAGAAACTGCTCAAATTAAAGATCAATAAAAAGTACAGAAAAAATTTGTATGAAAATAAATAAATAAAAGAGAAGATGGGAAATGCTTGCAATTAGGATGAAAAATCTAAAAAGAAATTAAATTTAGTTGTAATACATTTCCCATTCTTTTCTTCATGAAAATTACTACTGAAGTGGTTTTTTTTCTGTAATTTAAATATTAAGCTGCCAGATGTGTGTCTCATGCTTGAAGAGTTGAAGCTTTGCATTATTTAGCATATTAAGATTCACAGAATTTAAAAAAGGGCTCCTTTATTGCCTGGAGGTTCTAATTAAGTAAACCTTAGCCTGGTACATTTAAAACTTGCAATACAAGAGATTTTGCTTCTTTTTTTTTTTCTCTGTAGCCAAGTCTCATCAATATAATAAATATGGAAAATGCTTAAGATGATATAATTTTTCTTTGGCTTGAGGAATTAAACCTATCTATTATTTTAAGAAGTTTTTAATAGAGGCGAGCAATCAGAAGGACATTTAAAGACTCCAGTCTACTTTTTAATCATAGGATTGCTCTTAGTTGGGAGGGGGAAATGTGTCTTACAAAACTGAGCCATGTAGAAATTGTTTCTTCCACATACACAAAAGAAAGCAGTTCTGAGAAAGAAACAAGAATTACACAATTCTTTATTATTAAATTGCATTTTACTTTTTTATAACTTTTTATAATTGACCACAGAAAACTAATAAAGCATTAACTAGTTGTTTAATCAGCAATTTGTTCATTGAAAGAGTTTAGACTACTGTATCAGAAACTGTAATAGCATAGAAATTCCTGACATACAATACCCATAAATCATACCTTAAATACAGTTATTTTTGCCATTTTAGAAAATGTCAAAGGTGTCAACTTTGTCCAGATATAACACTTAGCAGTGACTATTTTAGTAAATTGACTCAAAATACATTTTGTTCCCTGACGGGGGAACATAATACCATTCATGATAAAAATGAACAATTTGAGGAGGAGAAAATAACACCAAGAAAGAATGATCAAAGACAGGTATCATAGCTATGATAAAGGTATGGTGGCAGGTGTAGACTCTCTGTTAATAAGTTTCTTTGGAAGTCAAGAAACATATGCATAAGAGCAGGAAAATATGATTGCACCAGGGCCTGGAAAAAACAATAAAATTCTTAATCCAAAGTTCTATATCTGTACCAGGTAAATCCAGCAGAATAGTTTAAATGTCTTTCATTTTTATAAGAGAAATAGGAAAAAATGGGTGGTATTTTTTGTCACCACTGTGGAATGGGCATGGGTTTGTAAAAGCATGGTGAGATGAATTTTATTTCTAGACCTTGACAATAATGAGAGAAGTAATTTCTGGGTGATATTAAGTCCCAACCAAATAGTATAGATGTCACACAGATCATACCTCATATGGGATACAAAGAAAACGTTTAAGTCCCTGAGTTCAGCGGGGCCTGGTTTTCAAAACAGAATACGAAGATGTTGGAATAGAAAAATGTTGGTGCTACTCTGTTACCTTTCTCAGCATCAGCCTTCTCTGGGCAATAGCTGACAACAGCAGCATGACCTTTAAAACTAGAGGGTGTCTTACTGCTTCTTAACCCTTGTAGAATAAAACAAAACTTTTTTTATCCTCTGCATTCAGTCTAGAAGTTATCATCTTTGGCTATGTCGTCTGTAACAAGTACTGTGGCACAACAAGTACAGGTACAACCTGTAGAATGAAATCAGCAGTTCAGAGGACACCCCTTAACAGTGGGGACCCTGCTGTGTGTTGCAGGCTTCATGTCAGGCTAGTTTTAGTTTGGTCCTGGGAACTGATGGCTCTGATACACACACCTAAAGCACATATGGTTGATCAGCTTCACCCTAAAGGTGGTCAGTGCTTGTCCTCTGAGATCTCTCTGCAGTGAACAAGAGACTGACAACTGGGGCAGGGCATTCACTTCAAAAGTGCCCTAAATACCTAAACGTTAATGTAAACACATCCTTTCTGAATGAGCATTAAAGAGGGGTAGGAAACAGATTCTCTATGATGTAAAACTTTCAGAGGCTGTATATAGGGTTGATACCGTGAAATTGTTATATATTGGGAGGTGGGGGGAGAGAAGGGGAGGGGAGAGACCAAGAGATTTTTTTTTTAAAATATGGACAAAAAGAAATAACACAGCTAGGAAATTACAGTAATTTGATGGAAACTACTTCTGACTTATATGGAGGCAAAGTAGAGAAGGGAAGTCACTCCTGATGCATGCAACCTCTCTTTAAATCAGTGGGAAAGGGTTTTAGAGTAGTGTGATCCAGGAGCAGGGCAGCAGACAAAGAAATCACCAGTTTGGTTAAGTTACTGCAGGGACAGAAAATAATATGAAGAACCTATCTGGACTGGCCAGTAATAGCCCAGCCTGTGAGAAATCAAATAGCATGGTAAGAGTTAGAAAATAGAAGAGTTTGGATTGTGTGGATGACACAACTGTAAGTGGGAACTGGATTCGATTCCACTTGACAGAATCAATCCAATCTTTTACGCAGTCCTGCTCAGAGAAAGAAAAGACAAGCAGAGAAAGAGAAGGTTCAACCGTCTGAGGCTCTGCCTCTGAGGCTCTATCTGTAGAAAAAATGAGGGGTAAGCAATCTTCATTTTAAAACATCACTTTGTTCCCTTTAAAGTGGCACCCATGAAGAATTACCAGTGAGAACAACTTCAAGTTTTTTGGTTTAGGTAACTATTTTTGCATCTGCATATCACTGTTAGGTAGAAGCATACAGCATCTCAGAAGGAAAGAACCTCATTGCAGTATAGTGAGAAGTATTACAATGAAGATTCATTGGTTTGCATAAAATTGTTTCAGAAGTGGCTATAAGCATAAATAAAACACTCTCAACAAAGCTATTGGTCACTTATATAAGTACATTTTAACGCTTTACATTAATGTAAAGCCTTCTCTCCAAATGTAATGATAAAATTAGAATGGACCTGTGTCTGTGTTTGGTATTTTGATATGGAGGTGACATCTTAATAAGTTTTGAATAAAGTTCTGAGTACTATCTGCTAGAGTACTAAGCCTCTTGGTTAGCCTGATGCCATCTTTGCTTAGATGTTATTCTGAAGCTTTGTCCAGACAGAAATGCCTTTTGATGTCACAAAAGGACACAATTAACTTCCCAACGTTTTTCCACAGATGCAGAAAGGGTTTTGAATTAGAGATCTTGAATATGAACAATATTTAACATCTGTTTTCAATAGAAAGTTTATTGTAGAAGACAGACATTGAGCAAAAGAATACTTCTGAGTTAGAAGATCTGAAAATCAGGAGCTAAAACTTTGTCCTGGGTATGCCCTAGAAAGGTGATAAATCAGAGGGTTGAAGGAATCACAGAAGTGTTGTCAAGCCCCCAAAATGAGAAGAATACTAGCTGACTAACAATATTTATGAGAAATAGTTCATGTGTTTCCAGAGGGTTTACTTGTGTTACATGCACAAATGGGAGCTTTGAAAAAAGAAATTAGAGTTCATATGACAGAAAGGCCAGGGAGCAGCTGCTGGGATGAGCATTGGTGGGGACAAAAATGCAGTCACTGTTGGAGCACCAAATTAAATATCAGGTACAGTATAAATCCTAGTTTACATGTCATTCGGTAGAAATTATCTGGGGATTTCAAATGGAAGGTTTTTATCCTTCCTAGTTCTGAGTGAAGATAATGAGTTTAGTGGTTACATTACTGACAGTGTTCCATCACAGAAAATCTGTGCTTTAGTGATGTGCTTTTTGAAACAAGTTTTTCATTAAATTAACAGGCAACAGATTTATCAAGTACCAGAATTTGGGGTTTTTTTTAAATCCTCCATCAATTATAGTATTATCTCTTAGGATATACTGAGTCAGATCCTCTGATGATACAAAATAATGCCTTTTGAATCCAACCTTCCTTTGACAAAAGTTGTGATAATTCAGTACCTTTCAAAATCAGTCCACTTCTGCAACTGCCTTGTTTCAGGATATTTGTAAGAGACCCTCTTGAATTCAAAATATGGGTTCAAAAATGCTGTGTTTGGCATTGGATCTCTGCCAAACTCCACAGAAGTAATTTGAATAAAAATTCAATATGGTAGTTTTAGATCTAGATAAACATTAGTGATGGGGGTAGGGGGAAGAGGGGACGAGGAATAGCTGTCTACCTGCACAGCTAATAATGGGGTTTTGAGACACACTCTAAAGGTGGAAACATCCAAATGCTGCAAGGAAAAGAAGTTTGAAAAAAAATTAAAGGCACCCAAAGGCAAATGTCAAACACCATCAAACATTATTTTAAAACTCTTTTGTTCTTGCAGGTTAGTTATGTTTTAAATATTGTGAGTATTCTAAGCTGCTTTCCACAACTAAAGTTGGGCAAATGAACTAAGTAAATTTCAAAGCAGATTCTACGAATGTAGAATCTGAAAAAAAAATTCTAAGTTAGGGTTGTGATTATATTCTTAGAAGGATCAACATCTAGAAATACATGTTACGTGTTGGTCTTACTAGGACATGAATGAGAACTCTTGAAACACTGGAAGTTTTTATTACTTTTTTCTGTAATGTGCTTAACCTTTTGTCACCAACATTATTTAACAAAAACTGACATCAGCTCTGTATTCTACCTCTTATGCATCTGTGATAGTCAACATCAATATTCAGCATTTATGAATCCTAACTCAGCAATGCCATACTACCTCCTACCTCTGTGCCCACTTAACATGAGATATTCAGCAAACACACCTATAATAGGAGATGCATAGTCCTAGCCTTCTTGGGCAGTCAACAGAGAAGGAGAACTCCAAAGAAATTATTTTTTAGTGATGTTTCGTGTGCTACTGTAAAAGGAAAGTGGTACATCAATTGGCTTCAAAATGACATGCATCCAAAATTCTACAACATCATCTCTGGGATCCCACAGACTTGAAGACAACTACAAGCTGCTGTTTACACAGATAAGAGGTAGCTATCTCTTACCTAATATTTCTCAGCTCAGTGTCTAACCATTATAGCTTCCTGCTATAGGAGAGTCACTTCTCCCTTCAAAAACAGGAATAATTCATTTTCACTTGTGCTTTCATCTCTACACACTGGCCAAGGGAGTGAGAATCACCCTTTCCTAAAATGAAAGCTGACCCTTGCATTGTTCATGATGGTTGAGAGAGTGATGAGCAGTGATGAGTGCGGATCTCAGATCAGCTCCTGATGCCCTCCCCACTCTCTCAGCTACTCGATCTGCTATTCATCCTAAACATCTGTGCTGTGACCAGGAGGGCTGGTTGGCACCTGGGGGACATGCATGGGTGTGAGAACAAAAGGGAGCATGGACATCGGCACTTTCTGTGCCTGCATTGCCATTTTTCTATTGTAGGACTGAGAGCACAATACACTACCCAGGTCATAAAGTGGGAGTGGTCGTCTATATTCTTGATACCTTGGTACCAACATCCCTGTCCCATATTAAGTCTGCCTCTGGCCATCACGGTGGTATCTGAGTTTAGGACAGGACCTAGGTATTATATTACTCAATTCTCAGACAAATACTTTTTACCTGGGATTTAAAAACAAACAAACAAACAAACAAACCAATCAAATAAATCCACCAAAAAAAACCCCAATGAAAACAAATAAACAAATGAACAAAACCAAGGAAAAACTCCGCAGTGGTAACTTGCAAGGCTTTGCCTTCAAAAGAAACCCCATATTCAAGTAGCAAATGTTACCTGAAACAAATACAGACAGGCACTTTTACGCAATTTAGCTTTGCACAATTAACAAAGGATATTGCTATTAAAGTGCTGCAGGAAGAACAAGTACTTCCCAAGCATCTAACAGCAACATGTTGTGATCCATGGATATAAATGACCAAATAAAATGGAAGGATGTAAAAATGTCACGGAAACACCAGTCGTAATCTAATGTTGTCAGTGCACTGCACACACACCTTGTAATTACTAACACATTTGGCCTACCAACACTTTTTAGACAGGGGAGCCCACCATTTCTGTACCTTTTTGCCTAAGCTGCTTTTGATCCCTCACAATTGATTTAAACTCTTCCATCTCTTCCTTTGCCCAGTGAATTAATGATGACATGATATCACAGAGCTAGGGGGAAGGCAAATGGGGGTATTTACACACATGCCAAGCAGATCTATTTGCAAACTTTCAGTAAATTAATGCAATAAAAGTCCCAACCTGCTGGAAGCATTTTAAGCTCTTCTCTTTTCCTCCCAGCTTCTTCTGACACACACACTTCTCCTCCTTTTGCTGCATTAAACTGTTTTTCCACTTCCTTTACAACAGTGGGAATACTTCCCTTATGGGTGTCAGGATCTTTTGGGGAGGTCAGAGGTTGCCCTGCAGAGGAAATGACAAGCTGTGAAATGTAAAAGAACAATTCCTTCCACATGTTTCCTTGCTCCAGGAGCAGTAAGGGGTTGTCGGCTAGCATCAGGACGGGATGGACCAGGCCTTTGTCTTAGCAGTCCTGTCAAAACTAATTTACAATTAAAGACCTGTGTAACTGTTTAAAGCTTTACAACTCTGGTGAGTTTCAAGGACTGCTGAAGCCAAGTGGTACAAACCAACTTTATTATTAACAAGCACGCAGACAAACAGAATGAAGACAGACAGAAAAATGCTGTAAATTGTAAGTAAGCAGAAAAACTGTACACCTGAAGATTATCTTTCTATATGATATTTATTTCTGTTATAAGCTCATAGTTTGGGAACCAAAAATATTTCTGTGGTTCTAACTTTTCCTCTGGTTGTTGCATAGGCAGCAGGAGCCACATGCACTGTTGTTAGAGAGCAAACCTTTTAAGGAGAGGGAAAAATAAAGTCCAGGGGGAAAATGGGCTAATTGTCCATCAGAAAAAAAAAATCTTTAAAACCATTCTCAAACAGCTGAGTTTCTGACTTCCCAAAGTATAGTAGAACGGGGGGGGGGGAGGCAGGGTTGGTGGACACAATCAGACTTTCCGGAAAGAAAATTTTAGACAGAAAATCTGCATGTGGGTGTTTAGTCCAAAGACAGCTGAGGTAGTGAGAGTCTTTCTAAGTGACAAATCTTCTGCCTTGTAAGCACTCTTTTTAGGTCTTAATTGCACATCAGTATGCTGTTACAGTGCTGACCATAACTTCAGGACTTCAGATTGGCCAACACTGTGTGAGTAAGTCAACTGGAATGAAAAATGTTTTTCTTTGGCTCTAAACACTACAGAGGATAAACCTGTTTCCCACCTGCGTGTTTTATTTGATCACAGTTTCAGATGGGCACAAGTAGGTGTTTGCATGTCAAGTCAGAACAACAGCACAGACAGAAGAGTAAGCATTTGGAGGAACGTTCCCAACAAGTGCAGAGTAACACTTCCCAAATCAGCCCAAGTCTGACCCAAAAGTGTTTGAGCTGGAGAACTAATACATAAGTGCTGTCTAGCTACTTTTCTGAAGATGAAAGAGCTGCCACTTCCAAAAAAGTCTGAGTTTAGCTGACATTTTGCACATGTGAATACCCATTTCTATGGACACTAAACTCAAAAGGGATCTTGCTGTAGATTTCACTGTGAGAGTGTTTTCTTGATGAATTTGTATATTTAGTGTTTTATATGAAGATTCACACTTTTGAAGTTTTCATGCATTTAGAAGCCCATGTTACTTAGATCTAGGTCTCTGAAGGCAACATTTCTGTTAGTTGCATCAAATTTTCCTACCTAAGCTGCTTCTATTAGAGTTGTTACCACCTTCCCCACAACAGCTAATGAATTCCACACAGAAATCCTCATTTATTCATTGACAGAGACTGTTGATCCCTTAATGGGCAACAGATGAACAACAGAAGATTTTCTTAAGAAAAGCAAAGGATGGTGGTAGTGTAAGCAGAAGCTGTCTTCTACCATGAGCCTCTTATGGAATACCACTTCAAAAGAATGGAAAGAAGATATGGTTTGGACTTAGAGACACACTATATCTGATAATGTACATCTGTGATCTACAAAGGAGGTAGAATGGGAGATATTATGTTGCATTCCCATGCATTGTACTCTGGAGGAGAGAGCCTGTGCAGCAAGGAAGAGCCATACATAGCCCAACAGAGAGCTGTGGTTTAGAAGAATAACATAGCCTGGAGTTAGTTAATGGAAATAATATGAAGGTTCTCTCTTAAACTTCTAAAACCAAGACAAACTTGAAGTGAAGGTTAAAACACCATCTCCTAACCTGCTCTATTTTGCAGCACTACATATGGTATTGATATATAAGATTGCTCACTATTTAGACTACTGCAGTAGAGTGAGTTACAGAGCACTCGTCTTCATTTAGACTGTTCTTGCTTTCTCTGGTTTGTGTCTCAACCTTAATGTCACTTTAACAGAGCTTTCCCCCCCTCTGTTTTTGGTGGTTTAACAGATATAATACTGTATTTATAGGGCATATCAATGTGAGACAGCTTGCCACAGATCATAAACACATTTTTCTGTGGGAAATGTTGAAGTTGTGAATTTCAACACGTGATCTCCAGTTCTCTAAGGTTTGTTCCTTTAATTGTAAATAGCCAGAAAGTCATCAAGCTAGCGTTTAATAAACTTTTAATTTGAAATGGATTACCACATGTTGTGTTTGTTTACCCATTATTAAATCTCTTAGCAACATATCACCAGCAGAAACAGCATACTGTAGCACTGCATAGATACATTAAAAAACAAACCCATGGGGGATATTGGCAGCTAATAATATCTTTAAAGAAGGCTCCATGAAAAATAAATACATATAAACAATATCAAAAATTACTCCTAGAAATTTTTTTAGTGCAAATCTGTTTGGCAGGGAAATTGCAGCTCTTCCATGATCACCGTATGAGCAAATTTCAGAGGTCTGCATACAAAATAAGACATACACTAGTGCTCTTTCTCAGTTCTTCAAAATATATATTTCTTGACTTTTCAAACTGTGTATCATGAGTTTTTCCATGTATTTCCAGGAAGCGTGACCTATTTATGTGCTTCCTCTATGTGTGTTTCCAAATGTGTATGAAGACTGATGGTAGGACCAAATGAGTTTGATTCATTTAGGGTTTGTGCATAATTCTTCACTGTTGAGAAGAGTTGCCTGCAACTGCACCTTTTGGATCTGCTATTCACGGTTTGCTGCACCTTAAAGTACCTTGGCAGATATGTAGAAGATAAATGACAACAAAAAGGACCTTATAGCACAGTGTATGTTTACACCTCCATGCTTCTGGTATCAAGGTGGTTATATAAAAGTCCTTTGATCACAGTGCAATTGCTGCTTAGCCTAAAAGCATCTCAGGGCAAACCTCATTTTCTTTATCTCCTAAATCATTACTCAATGCCTGAAAAATACTTCTACTGTCTTCTTTTCATGTTATACTTCCAACCTGAGCGGCTCACCTACCATGCTGAATGATTATTGTTTATCTGTTCTCTTTCTTTCCTTCCAATACACTCTTTTTTTTTTCCTCCCATGCCATCTACAGTGTATCACTGCTACTGTTCTCAAATGCCTGAGGAACCTCTGTCCTGGAGAACTAAGTCTCTGCTTCAGATCTTTACATCATATTCACAGATAAACTACAATCTGTAGGTTGGCTGCATCCTTGTTCATTAAACAAGAGAAAATACAGAAATAGCTATTTAGCAAAAATTAATTCTTTTTGCCCATGGCAGTCACATCCCACAGGCTGAAAAATAAAAGAGCAACAGCAGTCTCCTGCCATTCTTCTCATTACTTGATTTCTAACAGTAGAGGAGCAGTTTGTGAGTCCACTGCAATATAGTCAATTACATCTTCAGTGTAGCTGCATCAGAAGGTTCACAGAGGTCAGGAAGGATGCTCAGTCTAAAACTTACATTCAGCTTTTTAAAAAAGCTTCTGGGGAGGTCTGCTATGCACAAGGAAATGATAATTGTCTTTTCTATGGATTACCACTTGATTGAATCTAATGGAATTTTATAGGAGTAACATAAGGCATGCCTCTGATGCCAGAACTATCTCCCTGCCGAATTTGAAGTCCTTGTTGTAGCCCAGGGAGGTGCTAGAGTTCTGCAAGCAATAGACAAAAAAAAAGAACCTTTTTTTTTCTCTTTCTATAAGCTTGATGCCATAAGCAGCTGAAATGTTACTGCTGTGACATTCCAAGCATTATTCAGCCTTAAGCATAGGCCAGCATGGAAAGTTTAATCCTTAGCAATGAGGTTTATTTAAATTGCTCACACCTGAAACAAAGTTAAAACACCTTATTCCTGCTACAGTATTCCTGCTACAAGGCATGAAGAAAAAAATCTAGCTTAACAAGATCAATAAGGACTAGCCAACATTAAAATTAAACTGTGGGTTGCTCCAGTGAAAAACCGAATAAAAACATTAAAGTTTGAATCCATCACCTTGTGGTCCAGACCGTACAACCCTCTCTGGGACATCATTCTTTTCAGCAACACTTGAATACATGTGAAGTTCAGGTGGGAGATGAAGATGCATATCACACTTACTTTGCTTATCTGAATCCTGTGGCAGTTTAGTTATCTATTAAGTGGGGTGAAAAAAACAAATAAAAAGAAAGCAGTTCAGAATTCCACTAAACCAGAACTTACGTGTTTGTACACAGTTTGTGAACCCTAGAAGTCCAAGATGTTGCTATGAGAATTTTAGGAAATTCTTGTTTCTCTCTGCTCCATTTATTACCATTTTCTACCATATAAGTTTACCATGTATGCCTTCCCCATGCTTACTGACCAAAGCAGATATCCCAGTAAATGGGGGGTGGCGAGGGGGTTGTGAGTCACAATCCAGTTTCAGAATCATATGGGAAAATACAAATATCCTGGATTATTAAGTCATCCCACTTTATACATCGATTTGAAAGACTAATTTTGCAGCTTTGGAATCTTCACCTCCTCCTTACCCAATAGCTCTATTATTTCTGACATTCTCTTTCCTAGCATGTATTAGGTATATTTGTTGTATAAATTCTTATCGCTTTATGTGTTTCTGAAGCTACTTTTACTTTCTTTTACTCTTGGTAGACCCAAAAATAAGATTGTCTGAAAATCATCACTACAAGAAAATTAGAAACTGAAATTTCTATTAAGTAAGTCCACATTATAATTGAGATGTTTTCAAAATCCATCTATTTTGGTATTTTTTCCTGAGAAAAAATCTGACTATAAAAGAGATATAAGTTTAAGATTTTGTTAAGATTCTGAATGAAGAAACATATTTCAACTACAAAAACCCCCTTTACTTGCCCATCCAGAAAAAAAGTTTCCACTGAAGAGAAGTTCTTAATTTAGGTCCATTTTCACTAAAGACATACAAATAATGTCACGTCTGAATTATGCCCAAAAACTGTTCAAAAGTAAGGTTCCTGACACAACAGAACCATGCTCACTACCTGGAGGTCCCACACATAAAAGTAAAACAATATCATAAAAAATATTATTTTATCTTGTAGTCATGTGAAAGCATCTCTGTGATTCAGTAAAACTGTGGAGGAAATTAACATGTACTAGTGGCAGGGCCAAACTCAGAATTTGAACTTTTGATCCAATTACCCAGCACCGCAAGAAATACTTTTATATTTTAAATAATCTTAAAATCCAGCTGCAAAACTGCAAAATATCTACTAATTTCATGTAAAAGTTGGAGGTGCATGAGATTTAGATATTCACTGGGTAGGCTGAGAAGCTGCTTTTTGGAAAGACAGATCTTTTAAGGGTGACAGAAGGAAATAGAATCTGTTGTGAGTAACAATGACTAAAAAAGTAGGCCTATTTTTTTTTAATACAAACCTGAAAGTAGAGATTGCATAACCAATGATCCAAGTCTTGAGAAATAAAGTTTTCAATTTTTTTGAATCTGTCAACTTTAGGGTCGTAATGGCCTCTCAGGAAGGGACATTTAAATTTTCCCTCCAAAGCATTAAAATTGTTATCACATAAGGGAAAAGCTCCCCATCCTACTTCTTGATCAATCCAAGCATAAGTGCCACGAAGAAGGAAAAGTTCAAAGAGGAGTACCATTCCTGGCTTCATAGCTTTTCTGTGTGGTAGAACCTAGCAAAGAAGGAGAAAAAGATTTATTAGTTACAAAAACATCACAAGGGAACTGACTTTCTTTTATCATATAAAGTTCTACAAACTTCATACCTTTGAACCAATTTTGCATGCAAAAACAATTAACAACTCTTCTCTTTGCAGCAAATCATCTATTTGAACAATTTTTCACTCCGAGAAAAAATGCTGTGCTTTTTTTGAATGTTAATTTTGTGATTTCTTTGTTTTCCCCTTGGCTTTCTGAAAGTGTTCATTTACTGTCTTTATTTACCAGTGGTGTAAAAACATTGCCACTAGAAAACTTTAAGACAGAGTGACAAACCATCTTGGAAATCTGAGGTGTCCCTGTGAGGACTTGCTGAGACACTACTGGATTTGTCTTGCAGCAACTTTGGAGACATTCAAATATCCAATGAGAATACTTGCAGTCTTTCATCTCACTGAGTCACAAACTCTTCTCCACCCAGTTCTGGGAATAATGCTGGTACACAATAGCCTTCCTCCTCTAAATTAAAGCTCTTATTGCAAAGTATGTGAACCTCAGTGTAGGGTCAAAAAGCATTTTGAGGTAAAAAACTCTCAGCATACCAAAGGCTGGCAAACAGTGTTTGCACTTTTCATCGGATAGGTAGAGATATTCTTCTGAGTGGTTTGGAGTTGTGGAAGCGCTTGGGGCTCTAGGGCAATTGTGTTCCCATGGCAGAGACTTGAAAACTAGTGGTGAAGAAACACTCTGAAGTAATATGAAGTTATGTAAATCTGTCTGTAAGGTTTTGGCAGGTAGAGGAGGGAGGAGGGTAAACACAAAGAAAAAGTAATCTGATTCTATGCCACAGTTTTAACTGTTTTCTTTAATCAAGGTGAGGGTTGACCCAGGTCCTGTTGAACAATTTTAATACATTCAAAAAGACAAATAAAAGAAAAAAAAAACATACAAAAGCTAGATCACGGAAGATGACTACCATCATACCCAGGCTAACAGCTATGAAGGGTAGTCACCTGGAGACAAGGGGAGCAAATACATCAGCTATGCCTCTCAGACAGCAAAACATCTGCTTTGCCACTATTCCTACACATTCTCCTGAGAGAACTGAGGCTGCCTAATCTCTTAAATCCAATCTCTTAAATCTCTTAAATCAAATTTAAATGTAATATTTAAATCTTAAATCTTCTTTAATAAAGACAGTGTTCTGTTATTTGAATGTTTTTCACATTTTATTGTTCCCATTTCAGTCCTCACAGTTCATAGCAGCAAATACCTTGGTACACTTGCCTGCTCAACATTACCTTACCTTCCAGCCAAGGTAGAGAAAGAGGAGCCTTTTCTCCTGCTCTCCTCCCTGTGAACTGCAGAAGCCCACAATATTCAAGGGCATCTTTTGGCTTTGAGTGTCCAGTAGGATATACTCTCTGTACTTTTTGAAACTCAAGAATAAGACCTCCAAGTAGAAGACATCAATGCAAACCAATCACCAACTATGAAAAGCCTAAAATGCCTAAGTCTTCCTAAATTAGCAGGAATTTCCTCAATCAAGATGACATTCTGCAGTGAACAACCGGCCACAATTCTGTACTGCTTCAAATATTTCTGTATGTGAGTACACACCCCAACACAGTTCTTTCTCAATGTGTATATTTAAAATATATATGAAATACATATATATTAATATATATGTATTATATATTTAATATATATTAAATACATTTTAAAAATATATTAAATACAAGCATGACTTCTTTTATACACATTATTGAACAGCAAGGTATTTAGCATAATCCAGGTGCAGCCAAATTTTTTTCTCTTTTTCTGAAAAAGCTAAGGGATTTCCCCATACCAACAACTGCCAAGTTAGGAGATGATAAGTGTTCATGGTTGAGCTGCATTCTGTAACTTTTTTGAAGAAGTGAATATAAATTATTATTTCTAATAATATGCCTTCCTGTTTCAAGTTATATATTGTGATTAGATAATAGCAAGACAGAGGAAGTCATTTAAGGAAATCTTTTAAAACTATAAATATTTTCATTATTATGTAGGTGTACTTTATATTAATTATGTAAATATATTCTAGGACTTAGTGTAGGCTTAAAACGAAACAGAAGCATCTGTTGAAAAATACCATAACCCTGTGGCAGCTGCTATTAAACCATTAACAGTATCAGGTTTCATTTAAACCAGATTTACCATTTTCTGTAACAGCCCGTGGGAAAGCTAAAAACATTAGGCACAAATTACTGACAAAAGAGATCCTTAATCAAGCCATACATTTCATTTGGCTAGCTGGGTGCTAGATAGCAACCTCTGTGCTACAAATTAAAGGTGATGGTTACAACGAGGTGATCAAAGACAGTTACCTGCATTATCAAACAATCCCACAGCATTAGCAGATGAAATTACTACTGCATCACAACACACGTTTTGGTTTCCCCCTTGATTCCCAGACTTACTCTTCTCTTAAGAATAACTCAACAATGCATGCTCTTCTGCTAGCCTGCCTGTAAACAGACAGTGGTCAAGCAGATTTGTAAGGGTAATCGTTGTGACTATTAAAAACTTATTCCTTTGTTTCTGGCTCACAGTTATTCTTTATTTGCTGTAAGCTCTTATCCTGGATCTACATTACAACTCACTCTTTGGGACTGGAGGCACCCATTTGCTTACAGTTATAGGAGCTGGATGTTTAAACCATGCCATCAGAGAAACATATTGACAAAACATAAACAAGCATTTTATACCACACCTATCTGCTACAAGGTGTGAGGTTGTAAGGACTATCTTTCTGGGAGTCCTTATGCATGAACAGTGGGTGCCTGACCCAAGTAGGACAGTGTCACACAGCTCACATGGTCAAATAAAACATACCTATCAAGTAAGAAATTTCTTTCTGTTGGATCCATACAAAAATCCTGGCCAAGCCTCTGTCTGTTACTCTATACTGGCATGCCAAGCATTCATGGAGTTGCCTGTGGGCTTTCATTTCCATCCTGTTGGGCACTGGGAGGATGATTTATCTGGGAGGAACTGCTGGCTAGGAAGGGATAGCCAGGCTGAAACAGGAGAGTTTCAAAAAGGAGGCAGGTCTTCCCAACATCCATGCTAAATCTTTTCCCATTGCCACAATGAACACTCATCTCCGTCACAGCTCACTGTCCCACAGCGGCAGGGTCAGATAGCCCTGGGAGGGAGCTCAGTCTTGTGCCACCTGCCCTTCATTAGCCTCCTCCTAGGCAGTGAGCCTGGGAGCTGGGATTTGGGGCATGGCCAGCATGGCCTGGAGGCATAGATGCACAAAGGCATTTAGGCACATAGTTCCAATTGAAACCCACAGTCCTTGAATGCCTGTGTGCCTCTGTGGGTTTGGGCTATTATGCTCTGGTACAGGGAAGGGAACACCTTAGGTGGATAGAGGAGGAGGATGGCAATCAGTAATTGCTCTTCCTCGAGAGACTCAGAGCAGTGCCTGGGATAGGCAAGGCACAGGCAGCTCAAACTGACCAGTTTGTTTTGATGGATTGTTTTGTTTCTGAAGAAAAAAATAAAATTGGCAGTTATATTTTTCCTGCTGGTGGCAACCTCATTTGAAACACTATCTGATAAGTTAGTCCACAAGCCTGCACCAAAACTGCTGACATTCAAAGACAGCATACTAAATAAGGACAGATTCCTGAGTTTTAAAGAGTCTGCTCTCCAACACCTTAGCTCAATGTTTCTCCTTGCTCACGTAAAATTTCCATTGAGGTCTGTGAGGTATATAGACTTTTACAATGCTATGAAAGAATCAAGCACCTACTTTTTACTGGTGTAATTTCTTCTGCAAAGAAAGATGCAGCAGAGAATAAATAATACTTGTGTGTGCCTGCACAGGCACAAGTAATTCTTCTTAGTCTGCAGTTAGCAGTGTTTCATTTAATTGAATTAAATCATAGTGAACCAAAATTATCTCTTGCCGCTATTTCTGAATTCAACTGTTTTATATCAGTTTTATTGTAATATATCTTACTTCCCCATATGCTGCCATAGTTCCAACAAAGAAATCATAGAGAGAATGAATTTTATTTGAATGTTTCAATAAACAGATCCAGTGTGAGGCTTTGGGGTTTTTGACTTACTCTTGGGCTTTAACCTTGTCAGAGAACAAATAAACTTTTTCTTCTCTTCTCTGCATCTTCAAGTATTTTCAATTTAGAAAAAAATGAACAAATGTTACATTACTTAATTCACGTTACACAAAAATTTGACCACTGCAACTCAAACAGATTAAATTTAATTAAAATATGAAAAGAGAATTCAATAGTTACTTATTATATAGAATAAATTTTGGAAAATATAATATAAATTAATGGTTCATTATTTCTGATGATGAGAACCACAGCACATGAATTTCAGTAGTGTAAAACACACGTAGAAAATCTTTTAAATAGGAAGAAGAACCCACCATTAACAAACAAAACATTAATTCACTATGTAAAATGAATAGTGATGGATATGAGGCTGTTATTGTCAAAATAAGGTGAAGGTTTCACAACCAGATTTCAAGCTCTCCCTGTTTATGTTCAAGGCCAGTAAAAAGGCAGAGGGAAGGGCATTCTTGGGAAGTGTTGTGTAACTTTGAAATTTATAAAAGGCCAGAGGGGAGGAAATAGAAACATAGACTGAAGTAAAAGTAAAATATCATGTTATTAGGGTTTTCCAAGAGTCCGTATCTATCATCAGAATGTCCTGGAATAGCTGAAAACTTATTTCCTCAGCTTTCCATCACTGCCTGTCTTTGAACAGGTAACTGAATACAAAATAACACACAAATCAGAGAAGTACCATACAATGCAATATCATTTATTTCCCCACTTTTTTTTCCCTTTCTCTATCTTTGGAAAGAGACAACAGACCTTTCAAGCCTGATATAAGTCAAATGACTCCTCTCCCTGACTCCTCTGCCTGCAGCTTGCAGATCTCCTTAAGCCTTTATGCAGGACCACCATCTTTCCAGCCTCCCTGATAG